GAAACATACAGAGAAGTATAGTAGATATATATTTAGGTGCTCACATATATATGTAGAATTTTTTTACTTTATGTCTTACCTCAACCAATGCATATGGACTTCAGTATAGTTATGGATTTTTCATTAGTAAGGTTTTTTTAATGGTTTAGCCTGATCAACCATTAAGTGTGTTACTATAATTATCTTTTCTGCATTTCAATCTTCTCCAATGAATATTCACTTCTTTGCAGATAATTGCCTCATTTGTGGAAGAGAATGAGATCTAAGTTGTTAATAATAATTCTGAAGCTCCAAAAGTCTTGGATTTAGTGACCATAATAAGGCTGAGAGGCCTTTGACAAGTTCAAAGAACATGCTTAGCAATCTTGGAATGTTTTTAATGACTCTAGTAAGAATCTTATATGCTATTAAGGTTTTCCCTAGTTTCAAACTAAGAGCTTGTCCAGCTGTTTTAATATGCTTTAATAATAATTTCCTCCCATCCTTGAGTCATGAGGAAGGAGTATCACAGTAAATTGTGTTGCTGCCCCTGTCTTTATTAATTCTTAGGGATATGCTGGGCACTATTATTATCCATAAAGTTTTAGTGCATGACACTGAAAGCAATTGGTGGTAAGTATTCCCAGTGTTAATTGGATGCAGAATCCCCCCCCCCAAAAAAAAAATTCTATCTATGAAATACAGTGAGCTGATGCTGAGAAACTACCCATTTGTTTACTTACTTCCTGTTGGAATATCAAATTCCCAGTCTTCTGGAAGACATGAAAGTTTGAGTGATAAAGAGTTCTCAGAGATGAAGACCAAGGTCAAATATTAAGTCATTCAAAATCAGCATGGGTTTCTGCTAAGAGTCAATAGAAACATCTTTAAGGGAAATGTACCACATTAAGGAAGAAGGCAGATATACCAATTTCTCATCCCATAATTGAAACCATCTGTGTATTTGTCTAGATGTTTGGAAATCCAGAAAGATTTGGAGCCCTGAGCTTCCTAACTTCAGATTTGAGGGTTTCTCCCTATAAAACTGTTCCTGGTTATCTTGGCTGCTATTTCCCCTCTCCTATGCTTGATATATTTGCTCCTGCCCCTATATCAAAAGAAAAAATAGGGAGGGGGGAGAAATGGCAGCTGATTGAAAACACTAAATATGGTGGGATTTTACTGTCCAACTTCTGTGCAACCAAGACAAAATGGTAATAGGAATACAGTGACGAGAAATTGAGTAAGATAGGAAAGCAGTGATCCCATAGCAATTGTTTGGCCAGATGTAGGTGAACAGATATATTGTTCATGGCTCTTATCATCTGTAGATTCCTCTCCTAGACGTCTTAGATTGTTGCCATGGAATCTTGGAGACAACTAGAGATTTGTCTGGGTATCTCCATTGTTGAGGTGGGGGGCATTTCTTATTCTCCTCTTATGGTTTGTTCTTAGGATCCTTATTACTATGATTTTTATATTTATAATTGTTATTTTTAATATTTTCTGTGTTATGTATTGTGTATCATCAAGAGTTTGGTGAGATGGGCAGCTATATAAAAATGATAAAAAACCTTAGAGTAACTCAGCAATGGGCTAAAAATGAGATTGAAGTGATGTCATGAGCATACATCTCCACCAAATGGATAGTAAGGTGTCTTTGCACCAAGGCAATCAAGCTGTGAGGATAAGCCTTCATGTTCAGATATATTATTTCAATGCTTAACCATCAGATCATTTTCAGTAATCACACTTTTCTTTTTATAGGCCCTTTCACCCGTCCACACCCTGCAATATGGCGCATGGTATTTGGTAAGTCATTTTCAATTGTTACAGATCTCTGGGTATCTTCTTTCAACAATCCATTTTGTAGTAGGATATATTTTATGCTCTCCATGTTACTGCAGAGATACAGTATGTTATAATATTCAGATATTGTGAGAAAGTTTTTCTTTTTTAAAATCTTAAGGTTCTTAAGAAAAGAAATCACCAATGTGGGAGTTGGGTGGCTGTATAAATTTGTTTAATAAATAAATAAAACCAATTAGAATTTTTGGAATAAGCTTTAGAATAATTCATCACATAATTCAACTTGCAGGGTCAAACTGTGATGGTGCTTACCATACATTCTGTATGGTAATGTCCATTGAATATTTTTTATAGATTACAATAATAATTTATTTGTACTCAGTTGTTCTAAACAGTCACTGAATGGCATGCAATATAATCACTGATTATAACATAACATAATTTCTTAAAGTCTAAATGTAAAAAATGTTTAAAAGCGGTTCACAATAGACCCAATCTTTAAAATACAAACTCAGCTCCAAGAGTAGCAAGGATTGAGAACAATGGAGATTAATGTATACATTAATGTTACTTTATTATAATTGGTCTTTTAAAATTAAGATCCTTCTTAAACATTATTGGCTATTAGGTCTTTCAATTTTGTTAAATTCAAATTCAGAAGGAGTCACAAACCTTTAAGCATCACTATGTGTGAGCATGTTGGATTTCTTAAAAAGTAACATTGGACATGAAATAATAAAAGAATGGACACGATACCAGGTTAGTGTTGGCAGAGGAAGGCTTTTATTTATTGCCACTTCAGTGAGAATTTTGCAATGGACATTGGAAAATAGGGCTTGACCTGCTGAGTGTCAAGTTCCTTTTGAAAGAACATAATCTTCCGGCAAATGAAACCGCTACAGCTGGATTAATAGCTTTTGAGTTCTTTCTTTCCAAATGTTTGCCTTTCTATTTGTATCTGATCCTTCTCACCTTGTCTAGTTTCTCCTTGGTGAATAGTTGGGTAGCAACCTAGCAGGATTGCCATGTGATTGAGGACTATGAGTGAGCTATACAAATAATCAGAGTAGTACTCATACTTCTTTTCCTTATGTAACTTTTATTGCTTTATCAATGTATAAAATACAGATAAAAATAAAAATAGGAGTAATGGTTAAATTGATTGTTCTATTCAAAGAGAAGAATATATGTTTTTTTATTTGGATATCACTTCTGGATTTTATGCTTGTGATAAATATATATATATGAAACTTTGACTTTGATTTTGCCGATTAGATAGATCTGTTGTTATAGAAATGGCTAATTATTTACTAATATGTAAAACTAAAAAATAAAAGTTTTAATGTTATCTTATACTGTGCCAAAAAGAGTCAGAAGTCAATGCCTTTTTCTTTCTTCCCTTGTACCGCATATTTTCTTTCCCTCTTTCTTTTTTCTTCTCTTAGTACTCATGCTTCTGTTTGTTTTGCTAAGTTCCATTTTCTTTCTTATTTTCTTTTCACATTGCGCATAGATTGAAAAGAAAATCTGTGACCTTGAGAGCTGGTATAAAAACACAGAAGTTTAATTTAGAAGCCTTAAGACAATAAAATATATTTATCTTTTTTTTTTCTTTGATGGACTTTGCTTGTGTATGCTTGCCTAGTACTTCTGCATGTGGTACATTAAATAGCCATTCACCAAAAGTATTATTGTCTTTTAGGTTTGAGTGTTCTTTATTTTCTGTTTCTGGTATTCCTGCTCTTCCTTAACTTTGAACAAGTGAAGTCAGTGATGTACTGGTTGGATCCCAACCTTCGATATGCGACAAGAGAAGCAGACATTATGGTGGGTACACTGATAGTGTATAATGAACATTTTGGTGTCTTGATCTTCGTAGTAACATGTGAGTTTAGCAGCAGTAGACAAACATGACCCAGCAGTTTGAAGTTGCTACTAAAAAGACAAATACTATTTTGGGATAATTAACAAGAACACGGAGTCCCAATTACAGAAAGTAATTATTCTACACTGCTCTGCCCTGGTGAAACTCCATTGGAAGCATTCAAACAGCACAGTCCCAAATTGGATCGCACTCAGAGGAGGGCTAAGTGCAAAGGCTTATGAGGAGTGGTTAGGTTTTGTGTTCGTTTAGTTTACAGAACAAAAAGACTAAAGAAGAGAAATGATAGTAGTCTTGAAATATCTGAATTGTTGTTGCACAGAAGAAGGAATTATTCTTAATTTTCCCAAAGGGCAGCCAGAACCCATGAATTAAAACTACAAGGAAGCAAGATCAGGCTAGAATTATGAGGAACTTCCTGAGCTGTCAAGCCTCATCTAAAGTGGTGAATTCTCTTCAAACAGAAGTCGTGTGATCATTCGCAAGAGTGGATCTTGTACTCAGCAGGTCTTTGGAAAGAATAGTTTCCAGTTCTGAACAGGGCAGCATTATCCATCCAGGACCAAAGATGGAAAGTCTCGTAGCCTTGTCAGGGTTGACTTGCAACTTAATCTTATCTAAGAATAAGAATAATTATTTTTGGTCGAGACTCTAGTTCAGTGATGCGAACCTTTTTGGCACCAAGTGCCGAAAAGCTTGCATGAAACATTGTGCATGTACGCACGCTTGTCAGGGCAGCACTCCGGAAGCTTCCGGGTTCTAGCGCAAGTGTGTGACTGCGCTCACTTGTTTTCAGCACTGCCACACATGTGCACCCGACAATCAGCTGGCCGGCATGCATGCGCATACTGGTTTTTGACACTGCCGCATGCTTGAAGGACAGCTAATCATTGCGCGCACATGCGCACCAGAACCCCAGAAGACAAACAGGCAAGGCTGAGCGTGCCAAGTGACATGGCTTTGCGTGCCACTTTGGGCACACGTGCCATAGGTTCACCATCACGGCTCTAGTTTATCTTGGTGTGAATTTCATTGGTCATAGCCAGAATTATTTACATCAATCCTCNTAGAAATAGAAATTAGAATAGAATAAGAAATAAGAATAGAATACAATAGAATAGAAATAGAAATTAGAATAGAATAAGAAATAAGAATAGAATATGAAAGTGAGGAGAGAAGAGAAGAGGGGAATGGTAGGTAAAGCCAGGGAAAGGAAAGGAGAAGGGAAGTGAAGGAAGAAGGAGAAGAGAAGAGATGAAAGAAGAGGAGAGGAGAGAAGAAGTTATGAAGAAAAGTGTGGTGGATCATACCACGTAAAGCTCCTTGCACATCACAGAATATCCTGGCACACCTGAGGCAGCAACAGGTGACCTTACCTGATCCCGTCACAAATCCCGTTCACGGCCGGAGCCGAGGAGCCTGGTCCCACGAGGGCTTCCCCCATCAGCCCGTCTTCCGAATGGCCAGCGTGGCTTTTAAACCTGCAAGGGAAAGAGAGCCAACTCCTCACCGTCTGCAGGCTCCAATCTTGAAGGAACTCCGTGCGCTTTTATCCCCCCCTTTCGTTACTCCTGTTTTATACGGTAAAAGATACTGAGGATCTTCTGAAAGTACAGAAGGACTCCTCCGAGTAGAAACTCCACCAAAGGCCACCTTCAAAGGAGGCAGACCTTCAGGATAAGCACCAGAGGGCAGGAGAAGAAGCAATGAAGGGAAACTAATCAAGGAGAGAAGTCGTTTGGAACTAAGGAGACATTTTCTAATGGCGAGGACAATTAACCAGTGGAACTGCTTGCCACCAGAGGTCGTGGGTGCTTTTCAATCACTGGAGGGTTTTAAGAAGAGACTGGACCATCTTTTCTTTTGGACTTCGGGACTGCCACACTTTCTACTATTCATTTTTCCACGGTGGGAAAACGAGAGGGGGGGGGATTATATGTAGTTGGGTGATATGCAGCCATAACAACATTCCTTCTAGAAAGCCAAGGTCATCCTTTCTCTTTGCACCTGGCCAGAACTGAATGGGAGGAATCTGTCTTTGTGGCAGTGGAAGATTGGACCACGTGATGGACTGGTGGGTGTTGGGGCAGGATCTTTAACTTAGCAATAGCAATAGCAGTTAGACTTATATACCGCTTCATAGGGCTTTCAGCCCTCTCTAAGCGGTTTACAGAGTCAGCATATCGCCCCNGGAGGAGAAAGAGGAGGAGAAAGAGGAGGAGAAAGAGGAGGAGAAAGAGGAGGAGAAAGAGGACAGTGGGGTCTTTGGTGCTGTCTGAGCTTGATCGTTTTCTTGCAGACGTTTCATTACCCAACTAGGTAACTTCATCAGTGCTAATGGAGAGTGGGGTCTGCTTGACTTCCTTTGGCATTGAAACCTCTAGTAGAAAACAGCCAAGCTCAGAGAGCACCAAGGACTCCTCCGAAGGGTCTCCGCTTGTTCCGCTCAGTAGGGCTTGTGTAGGGCAGGCTCCCAAGATACTCAGCCCCCACAGAGCCAGGGCACAGCCAGGCTCCCCCGGGGCAGCTCCTAGGAGAAGCAGAGTTATTATCCCAGGCTACCGACTCAGCCAAGACCTTCGGAGGAGAAATGAGGAGCTGCTGCATGATCTCGCCTGGCATCTGCCTGGGTGATCATCTGTTCTTTGGCTCTTCTTCAAAGAACACAGCCCCCTCCCCACTCCCACGTTTCCTGGCCCAAGATATGCATATGCAACAATGCAGCTGAAATACAAGGGCAGAAGAGGGGGGGGGGGAGAGAGAAGTTCAACTACCCCAGATGTCAGGTGTGTGTGTGTGTGTGTGAGAGAGAGAGAGAGAGAGAGAGAGAGAAACAGACAGACAGACAGAGACAGAGAGAGGAAGAGGAGAGACAGACAAAAAGAAAGAGGAGAGAGAGAGAAGAAGAGGAGAGACAGACAGACAGAGAGAAAGAAAGAGGAGAGAGAGCGGTAAAGAGAGACAGCGAGAGAGAAAGAGGAGAGAGAAAGAGACAGAGATAGAGAGACAGAGAGGAAGAGGAGAGACAGACAGACAGAGAGACAGAGACAGAAAGAGGAAGAGGAGAGACAGAGAGAGGCAGTGGAGACAGACAGAGAGACACAGGGAGAAAAAGATAAAGGAGAGAGACAGAGGCAAAGAGAGACAGAGACAGAAAGAGGAAGAGGAGAGAGAGGGGGAGAGACAGACAGACAGAGAAAAAGAAAGAGGAGAGAGACAGAGACAAAGAGAGAGACAGAGATAGAAATAGGAAGAGGAGAGGGGGAGAGAGAGACAGACAGAGAAAAAGAAAGAGACAGACAGAGACAGGAAGAGGAGGGACAGAGAGAGTGGGAGAGACAGACAGAGAGAGAAAAAGAAAAAGGAGATAGAGACAGAGAAAGAAAAAGGAGAGACAGAGAGTGACAGACAGACAGAGACAGAAAGAGAAAAAGAAAGGAGAGAAAGAGAGAGAGAGAGAGGAAGAGAAGAGAGACAGACAGAAAAAGAAAGAGGAGAGAGAGACAAAGAGAGATAGAGATAGAAAGACAAAGAGAGAAAGAGGAGGGAGAGATAGAGAGGGAAAGAGGAGGGAGGGAGGGGGAGAGAAAGAGAAAGAGAGAGAAAGAGAGAGAGGGAGAGAAGTTCAACTACCCCAGATGTCGAAAGCATGCGCAGGTGCCGAGCACACTGCTCTCGCAAACTAATGTCTGTGGTGTGGGAGATTCCGGGGCACGTAGCCCACCATCTGCATCGGAGCTTTGAAGTAGCTTTTCAAGACGTACAACTGGTAGATTGGCTTAGCCTCGGAGGGTACCTTGAAGTGCCTTTCACGTTACGGGCAAGCTGCGCCGAGTAATTGGGCGAGGATAAACCAATGCCGGGCATTCAGCCAAGAGGGGAAACATTTTACAGGCTTTACATGTAAAATAATAACGCAGGCCTTGCATGTTTTTACATGTACAATGTGAACATGTAAAATGTTTTGCATGTTTTGCACCCAAGACTTTACACGTTCACAAAAAAAAAGATGTTAAGACTTTGTCCCAAAGGTGCTTTTGTTNATTTGTCTGAAACGGTACAAGGATTTCCTTCCTGAGCAAGGGGGTGGACTAGAAGACCTCCAAGATCCCTTCCAACTCTGTTCTTCTGTTAAGAGTGAAACAGCGGCTCTTTCAAGGCAGAACCAGAAAGGGGAAATCTACAGGAAAGTGCAGCTGTAGCTCTGGAAAAAAACGACAATCCAATTTAATATTCTTTAACGTCTCTTTTGCGATACGGAACGAGGAGAGAAGGAAAGCCACCGGGCGGCTGACACGGGCAACTGGGTGAATTCAGTAGCGTAACGAGCAAAGGGACTGCCAATAATTGCGGGGGGTGGGGGGGGGGGTGGGGGTGGGTGATTCTAACAAGGGGTAAAAAAATAAAAATAGAAATTCCTTGTCAACAGCCTGTGCCCTTTTTCTCTCGCCTGACGATCAGAAGAAGCAGCGCCGTAAAGAAAATATTCTGCAAAAGCAGACATTTCCCTCACCCTAACAATCCGCATTCCGTAAGGCAAGGAAAATTGCGGTGAAATGTTCAGTTTGACATTTCCCGCTAACTAAAAATATCAGCGAGGGGAAGGGAGGGGACGGGCACTTCAGCAAGCTGGCATCTCCTCAAGACGCCCCAACTCAGAAGAGCTGCCAGAGAAATAATGATGGCACAATGTTCCCAAGGGCCCCAGTAACCAACAAAGAGAGGTGAATTGTAGATTTGCTGCTTGAGGGTGAAGGATCTAGGTAGTGTCCTGGTCCCCCCTGACTTTTTTTTTTGTGGGGAGGGGGGTGTTAGAGATGGGTGTTGTGGTCCAAAATGCTTAAAGGAAAGGAGGTTGGGGAAGGCCAAGCATTCGTAGGCAACAGAATAGCAGAGTGGGAAGGGACCTTGGAGGTCTTCTAGTCCAACCCGTTGCTCAAGCAGGAGACCCTATATGGAATGACAGAATAACAGAGTGGGAAGGGCCCTTGAAGGTCTTCTAGTCTAACCCGCTGCTCAGGCAGGAGATCCAGTACACAGGTAGTCCTCGGCATACAACCACAATGGAGCCCAAAATTTCTATGGCTAAGGGAAGTGTTTGTTAAGTGAATTATGCCCCCTGAAGAGGAGGAGGAGGTGGAGGAGGAGGAGGAGGAGAAAGAGGAGGAGAAAGAGGAGGAGA